AAATTCAAATATTTCGACCGTTGAACAGGGGGAATCGGTTCCCTCCGAGCATTCAGTTATTTCTCGGAGCTAAACCATTAAGGGGGAATCGGTACCCCCTTAGGGGGAATCGGTTCCCTCTGGGCAATCTGACCATTTTGGTTTGATTTTAATTAAGAAATGATTTTTGACTCGATTAAGGCTCGAAATACTTTGTAAATTTGTTTAACATATTTTTACACTTTAGTAAGAATTAAAATGAACTTTGAAAGACTTGGAGTAATTTTTTGTATTCGAATAATTATATCGAATATACTTAGAAAATCTTTTGTAAAATCATAAAATTTATTTAACTTAATTTGTTATATCGAAATATCAAAATGTTTTCAACACATGCCATATCTTGGAGGCATTGAGGGTCATTAATCCGCACACCATGATTGTTCTTGAGCATGGTGATTTTGTTACGCCGGCGCCGAGTTATAGTATAAAGATGAAAGAATCGGGTGTTTTTATCTCTGCTGGACCCATTGAACAAGCGATTTCTGAAGCCAAAATCATTCTTCTTGTTCCGACATACGGTTATACTCAGCCATCAGAAAAGCTTCTAAGACGTCCAATTGGTGCGATCGGTGTTGAGCATGTAATCGTTGAAGACCTTTAATACGAGCAAGTAATGTTTTTTTCGGCCAAATTTTTTTCCAAACTGCTTGTGATTCCAAGTCTGAAGATTCTCTGACAATTTCTTTGATTTCACCACAAAATCATTACCCAGAGAAGGCCATATATCATTCACTATATCACAGAAACCTCCTTAGTTAACCACATGGCTTGGAAATGAAAAGGGTGTTTCTCCTTCTCATAAGGAAGCATCGGGGCCAACTAAAGGAGAAGCGGACAATGGTCGAAGTGGACACGAGGAAGATGAGAAAAAAGAGCTTAAGGAAAACGACAACACCAAGCAAGATTAACTATAAATCTATCTAATCTAGCTTGAATTTATGTTGAGCCATGTCTCTTATTCCACCAAGTAAAGGGTGCACCTTGGAAATCCAAAATGTTACAATTCGAGATCATATCATTAAACAGTCTGCTTCTATACAAAGAATGTCGGCCTCCAGATTTTTCATGAGAAAAAACACATCGTTGAAGTCTCCAGCAATCACCTAAGCAGAGAAACAAAGCTTGCTAACTCCTCCAAACTAGTCCAAAGGTTTCAGCGAACTTCCAGGATTAGACTTGCATAAATCACAGAAAATAAAAAAGGAGCCGAACCTTTAACCTTTAGAGAGCAATGAACTACTTGGCAGAGGATTAGATAATGTCGAGAGAGATGACTTGATCATCCCAAGCGATCCAAATTCCACCAGCAAAGCCTCTCGAATCAACAATATGAGTCTTTGGAAAACCCAGTTTCTTCACAACTCGACAAGTCGATCGGCCAAAAATCCGTGGCTCAACTACAACAAGAATTTGAAGTTTGTGCAACTTAGTCATATCCTTCGCATTACTTAAGAACACTACTCCTTGCACCTTTGCAATTCCACACTAAAGCATTCATTGACAAAGATTTGGAGATGTCTCAAGTTGAACCTGTTCACTTGAAGGAACTTCAACAGCATCATCGATGACCATGACACCCACTGTAGCATGCGTTGTTTGAGGGGTTGAATAATTATTTTAATAATTTATTTTTAGTTTAAAAAACAATATATTATTAAATTATCTTAAGTGGGCTCCCTAAAAATATATAATTTTATTCTAAATGGAATACTAATAGAAGAAAACTTAACACAGTTTTATTTTTAATATATAATAGAAGAAAAGAATATTGTATTCGATTTGAATTATTAAGTAATTTTAATGGTTAAAAATAAGATACATATACATTATTAAAAATTAAAAATGGGTAAATTGATCATTTAGTACTTGAACTATCAATTTTGTTCTATTTTAATATCTAAACTTTTATTTTTTTTCTTCAAAACTATACCTAAAATTTATTTTTCAGTTCACTTTAGTATTTTACCGTTAAAAACTTAACGTGTTTAATACTTAAACTATCAATTTTGATTCATTTTAGTAGTTAAACGTTTAATTTTAAACGAAATACTAAAATGAAACAAAACTAAAACTTTTAATGATGAGTATTAAAATAAAATAAAAACTAAATATTACCTATGATTTTGAAAAAAATTAAAAGTCTATGTAGTAAAACAATCTAAAAATTAACTCATATTATTAAAATCAAAAAAAGGAAAAAGTGAAATGAACTAAAAAAATTGAATAAATACGATCTAATAATTAACTCGTATTATTAAAAAGAAAAAAGAAAAAAAAGTATTTTATTTGTACAAACGTAAGCGTGAAGAGATGGACAAGTCATGATTAGGAAAATTTCAACTAATCCCTTTTTAATTTTCCGTCTATCTAGGCTCATCCCTAACATTTTCCTTTTTAATCACTACCTTTGACCAATATTCTTTTTAGATACATTTTAAGCAGCTACCGACATAGATATGGTTTGATTAGATTTTCGTTCTACTTAATTCAATCTAAAAATTATAAATCTTCTATTCGATTTTAATTCGATCTGAAAATATACACATTTCACTCGATTTGAACTCGAACAGATCTTTTAAGATAAAATCTGAACCCGACACTACCCGATATAATATATTTATTGAAAATATATTATTTTTATTCAATAAAAATAGATTTAATTGAAAGAAAATAATATATAGAGGGGTATTATTATAATTATTTTTAGATATATAAGGTAAAATTATAATTTTTTCAGGTCGGATATTTTCACCTTAAATCCGAACCCGATCCGACCTGAACATAACTTAAAAAAACTACTCAATACGAAACCAAATTTTTTTAAAGATCCAACCCGATCGGATCGAGTCGAGTAAAAACCTATCGATTTGGGTCCATGTCACTCCTAATTTAAATATTATTTACATGAAATTTTATCTTTAAAATCTTAATATTCTATCTATTCAAATAATGCTTTTAAGATATTAATATAAAATGGATATAAATACATCTAATTTGGACTATTAATATATGACTTTCCAGCTCATTTAATACGGCCTCAACAAAAGTAAGAACACAAGTTCAAATGCTGGAAACACCGGCTGATAATTATGAGTTGTCTATAATATAATATTAATAATTAAATCTTTATTTTATAAATGAAATAAAACGTTCACCACACGTTATATATATTTTTTAAAATATCTCTTTTTATATAATATTTAGATAACTTTGATCGAATCTAATTCTATTTAGTAAAAATTGGTGGTTGAATTAATTATGTTAGCTTTCTAAAGCGAGCTTTTTTTGGGCCAACAGATGCTGGCAGTATTAAAGGCAGTTCTGCCACGCTGTTTGTATTATATGAATTTGAAAGGCTTAAAATAAAGATAAGTACTTAAATTATGTTATTTTTTTTGTTTTGAAATTATATTTTGATCATATTAAATATTTAAATTATTATATTTAATCATTTTAATTTTTATAAATTTTTTCACTTAATTTTTTTGGCTAATAAGATGTTGACACTAACACAAAATTAATTATTTTGATCAAAAAAATAGTTTAGGGGCTTGAAATAAAAAATAGACATAGTTCATGACTTTATTTGGATCGGAAAAATAATTTAATTACTTAAACTAGTTGCATATAATAATTTGAGGACTTATTTTGATAAAAAAAAATAGTTTAGAGATTTCGAGAAAGAAGAAGTATAATTTAGAGATTTTTTTAGTTTAAGCCTATATGAAATAATATTTGTATTTAATTAAGGACAAATTAAACGTTTGCTGTTTTTATACTAACTCAAAAATTAATGACTTATATGAGAAGCAATTAAAACCTAAAGGTTTATTTGAGTTTAATAAAAATATAAAAATTTATTTAATTCAAGTGATAAAATTTAAGAGTTTATTTTTATAGTATTTGTTCGAAATCTTTTTTAGTTAACAATGTAAACCATTGTGTAGACACAGTTAGAGATGACAATGAGTCGGTTGAGTTAGATTATTGGTTAACGCAATCTGACCCAAAAATATATGTCATCCACCTAAACCGAGGAATATATATCCTCGTCTAACTTGAAGACTATATTCCTTCTACGTATATATAAAAAATGGATGTTCTTGTTCCCATATGTAATGGGGTAAGGGGAGGTAAGATAGTAGGTTGCCCCCAAATCCAGGTTGAGAGCAGCTTTCGGATCTGAAATGCCATCCGTGGGACTCGATCCCACGACTTCAAGGTTAAGAACCTTGTATTGTTCCAACTGAGCTGGATAGTCATATCCTTAACAAAAAAGAAATAGAGTGGAGAAATTATAACTATTATCCAAAAGTTTAGGGAAAATTTATACTATTATCCATTGTCGGGTTGAGTTAGAAGTTTTTCACCCATCATCCAAATTTGACTCGACCCGATCTCACCCTATATAAAATCAGATCTGGTCTTGGATCGGACCACATCAATTAAGGAAACATCTACCTTTATGAATTGTGAGAGATGTGATTATTATTTTTAATTAATTATTGATATCTAATTTATTGATCAATTAATTTGAATCAGATACTACAGATGTAAGTGTGATCCTCCAAACTCAGTTACTATTCGCAAATGACAAAATTCGAACTCATGCATTATTTAAGGATCTAACAAGATGTGATTTAATAATAAACATGAGTACCCCATTCAAATTCAATGCTTGGTTCTATTACACGAGCATTTCATCCACGGTGATGTGATTTGATGCGGCATTCACAGTCTAATCATGAAGGATCAAGTGACCTAGATTAGGAAAAACGACCCTATAACTAAAAGGTGTTAAAAACGGGGTCTGACTCGGTCAATGATTTCACTCACAACCGACTTATCATCACTCATTGGCCTTGAAAATACAAACAAATTGAAGCATCCATTCGGTCTGCTGCTGGCTAGTTATTGTATATAACAAATCCATGGACAAAAAGCAAACTGATTAGGAAAGATCAATGGAAGAAGATGGCAAGAAATTGCAATCACAAGCATGCCTCCGTGGCTGCTGCCCATCCCCTTTCCTCACCTCACATGATCCTCAAACCAAACCTTCGAGACCGATGAACTCGTCGGCGGCATGTCGCCGTGACTTCGCCTCGAAAACTAGTTCATCTATCTTCCCCAACGCCCAATTCAGCAACCATGAATCTCTTCCATCTATACATGAATCCTTTGCTGAATTCACCGAGGCTTATCCGCAGTATTCGGATACCGTTCGGGTTGACCAAATACGAGCGCAAGAGTATTACCATCTCTCCTTCTCGAACCATACCTGCCTTGATTATCTAGGCACTGGCCTCTTCTCCTATTCTCAGCTGCAAAAGCATGAGTCGCCGACGTATCGGATTCCTCGTCTTCCTTCCCCGTGCCGCCGCAATTGCCTCCTCCAGTTTCGGATATTCCGTTCTTCGGGGTGACTTACAAGACAGGGAATCTCAAGACACAATTACTTCACGGTGGGGCAACGTCAGAGTTGGAGTCTGCAATCAGGACAAGGATTATGAGTTCTCTTAATGTTCAAGAAAATGAGTACTCAATGGTTTTCACAGCAAACAAGACATCGGCTTTCAAACTCGTGGCCGAATCGTATCCCTTCCAGTCTAATGGAAACCTTTTATCGGTGTACGATTACGAGAGCGAGGCGATTGAGGCCATGTTGAATAGCTCAGAGAAGAAAGGGGCCAGAGTTATGTCTGCAGAATTCTCATGGCCCAGACTGAGGATCCAATCATCAAAGCTGAGAAACATGTTGGTGAGCAAGAAGAAGAAGCAGCATCAGATGAAGAAAAGAAGCGGTCTATTTGTGTTCCCACTTCATTCCAGGATGACTGGAGCCAGATATCCTTATTTGTGGATGACAATTGCAGAGGAAAATGGATGGCATGTGTTGATCGATGCTTGCGCATTGGGTCCAAAAGACATGGACAGCTTTGGCCTCTCACTTTTCCGTCCAGATTTCCTCATTTGCTCCTTCTACAAGGTTTTTGGAGACAACCCTTCCGGATTCGCTTGCCTCTTTGTCAAGAATTCAACCATTCCGATGTTGGAAACTTCGATAACTCCAGGGATCATAGGCCTTATCCCTGCCGAAAAGCTGACTGAATCTCCAGGCACCGACGCCGAACTCGAAAACTTATCTTCACAATTCGGGAGAGTTGAAGAAGTAGCAGAAAAACTAAAAGGGCTAGAAATGATTGAAGTGGACAATCTTAAACCAAAAGGGGAGGTCGAGTGTAGGGGCTTAGATCAGGTGGACTCATTAGGACTGCTAACAATAAGCAATAGAGCAAGGTGCCTCGTTAACTGGCTTCTGACTGCTCTGTTAAAACTCCAGCATCCCAACACCAAAGGGACTCCCCTGGTTAGAATATATGGCCCCAAGGTAAGATTCGATCGAGGACCGGCGATCGCGTTCAATGTATTTGATTGGAAGGGGGAAAAAATCGAACCGGTTCTCGTACAAAAGCTAGCGGATCGGAGCAATATTTCACTCAGCTATGGGTTCCTACACCATATATGGTTTGCAGATAAGTACCAAGAAGATAAGGAAAAAGTGATGGAGAGAAGTAATGAGCCCAATAGTGAAAATGGAAACAAGGAAAAGAGAAAAACGAAATGGGAATAGCCGTGGTTACAGCTGCACTGGGGTTCTTAGCCAATTTTCAAGACATATATAACCTTTGGGCATTCATTGCTCAGTTCCTTGATGCAGATTTTTGGAGAAGGAACGGTGGAGGTACACTTGCCTGAATCAGAAAACTATTGAAGTTCTCTAATCCCAATTCTTACGGACAATCAAGTTCACAAAACTAAGGAACCTGAATTGCCACAAAAAGGTTCAGACCATGTTGCATTGTATTCTTGTATGTACATTTCTTTTTGTTCAAATTATATGACAGAAAAATATGAACATGGTATGATAATTCATTACCTCCATTGCTTGAAAGATGAAAGCTCTGAAATTAATGCTAGGTTAAAGAAGTGACTTATCTGATTGTAAAATTATAGGTTCTTAATCCATTTGAACTGTTGCATCTTTTAATGCACAAAGGCCTCGTTTCTTTTTTTCCCCGAATAAATATAAGTTGTTGACACAGATTTCATGGAAATTTACACTAACCAAATTACATCAGGTTACAAGTTCGAAGATCAACGACTACAGTAGAATAATTGAATGTTCATTGTCAAATAGTTGAGAGTATTTAGAGTAAATACTATTCTAAAACCACCTTAATAAAAAGAAAAAGATTTCATGAAACTTTTCAAGAAATGGATTTTGTTTATTCCATTTATTGCGATAGGTGTATTTTGATGGTGTATTAGACTATTACTATGTACTGAATTTTGTAGTATTACTGATGATAATATAATTTGTGTTATACGTAAGAACTTTAAACGAATACAACATTATGCAGTATGTAGGTGTATTGATTATTATGTAATATTGGTTGCACTTTAAAAAAAATGTACGAAGTTTATGTTTAAAATCTTTTTAGTTAAGTATTTTTTTAAATTTTTTAATATGGTATATGACTATTTAAAATCATGTGATTAACAAACGATTAACTCTTCAAAATAGGATTTTTACCATAAAATGAAATGCCAAGGGCATAAAAATGTTCTAGAATAGAAGAAAAAGAACTAAAATGATTATTTAGTCAAATGTTTAGGGTCTTTTGTCTTAAAATAAGACATGAGGTAAATGTCCCAAAAAATTAGGATTAAGTTTATAATAAAAATAAAATTATTAATTATCTTAAAAATACTCAATTTAATATTATAAATAATCATTGAATTATAAATGTGAAAAATAAAATATTAAATTTATTTTAAAAATATAGGCTTTAGGGCTACTTTTACCATTGTAGTAGACTCAATTTATCATTTTTGCCCCTATGATTTTTCTCATCAATTTAACCTTTGAAGTTGTTTAGGGGCATGCATCATCATAACCCTCGAAGTTCGTTGACCATTTTGACTAACAAAATTGTAAGTCTTATGTGTTTGTATATTAAGAGATTAGGTTAAAATATTTACTAAATATAACAATCAGAAAAAAAAATTCAAATTTTTTATTATTTATTTCAGTAAGATTAAGGGATTAAGTAAAATTTTTGGGATTTTTTTTCTAACAATTGTATTTTGTAAATATTTATTATTTTTTTAATAAATGTCACATCATATCAAGCAACGTCAACAATATTGGTTGTCATAGAAATTGCTAGCGTCGATAAACGCAGAAGACTAACGGTTTTGTTAATAAAAATAGACTTAAAGGGCTAGGATAATAGTCTTAAAGAACTTCAAGGGCTAAATTGATACGAAAAATTTTAGGGGCAAAAATGATAATTTGAGTCTACTATATGGACAAAAGTAGACCTGTGAAAAATATATAAATTTTAAATTTAATTTTCTATTAATATTGTATAAATCAATCATAAATGTATATATATAACATATATCAAAATATAAATTAAATTTAAGATTTGGTTTAGCGGTTTAGTGTATTCAACTTTTTCATGTGGCCTAGGTTCACATTCCTACATGGGCATTTTTATTTCTTTTATTTTCTAGCATTAATTAGTTTATAAAATATATACATTATGCTGTAAAACACAATTCAAATATGTAGGTTGACTTAATGGTTATGTGTGCAGGGTTGAGTTTTACATCACCCAAGTTCGATTCCTCTCAACTCCTCTGTTCTTCTTTTTCTTATAATTTAATTTTTTTAACAATATGGTGATATAATATTATTTTGGAAGATAAATAATTAAATAAATCAAAATTATAGAAAATATCATTTAATCTAATGATGACATATGTCACCATGTGATTTGTTGATTAAATTTATTGAATTAAATTTAAATTATATTGATAGAATTGACAAGTATTGAGGATCAAATATGTAATCATACCACTTTTATTAACTGCCACTTAACCACTCCGTTAAATGTTAACGACATGTGGTTACCCAGTTAATTAGTTAAGTGGTTAAATTGATGAAATTTTGAAAATGGTGGTTATATTAACACTAACCCAATAGTTTGGTGGTCATTCAAGTAGTTTACCCTTAATTATTTTAACCACAAATTTATATTTTTATTCTTTTTTAGCTTTTACTAATACAATTATTCAAAGTACTTTGGAAAGACTGGAGGAATGATATTCTAGCTTCCTCAACCTACCCCTCACCCCAAGATTTTCTAATAAATTAAATTTAATATTTTATCTGAAAGCGAAACAGAAAAAGAAGAAGAAGAAAAAAACTTGATTTATTTCTTTGCCTTACTAACATAAGAACATGAGAGAGAAATATATTTGCTTTAAATATTTATGAATGAAAAAGAAGTGGCCAAATATGCTGAAGAAACCCAGAAAAAGTAGAAGCTAAATATGAAGTGTAAGGGGATAATAAAGTTGGTTCAACAATAACAAATTGAGGGAAGATAATTTTACAATTAATAACCTCTACTCCCAAAGAAATGCACTTTTGCTCTCTTTTCATCGCTTTTGGATTTATAGTTACGCAATAACCGAGCGATTTCAGTAGTAAAAGAATTATTGTTATGCTTTGATGTCCAGAGTTCGAGAACCATGAATATCAGGGGTGTGAGCGTTCAATATAAAATGATTGAGAGTTATCATTTAATAGATACTACCTTATATTTACCCAAGATTATTAAAAAAAAGATTTATATACTACAATATCAATAATTCAATGGTTTTACCTAAAACCGAACTATATTTTCCAAAAGTAAATACGTGGTAAGGTAGCGTTTGATATTTTTTTTTTCAATTTTAAAGATGTGATTGATAGGAAACTTATATTATAATGTTTGTTATATATGAAAGTGTAGCTTGAAATTTTAAATTGATACGTTTGGTTCATTAAATACTATGCTATGAATATGGTGATATTGTTGAGGGCTTACTTTATCCCTCCATGAATGGCACCAACAATCCCCAAGAGGCGGATCCCTTCCGTCTACTAACAAAGCAAGGGTGACGACTTTTGAAAAGGATAGTCTAAAAGAACTGGGATGGGGAGAATAATATCATAACATCGAATTCAAGGTTTTTCCGTGTTCGTCGACAATATTAGTAAAAACATTCACTCTTCTTATAATATTTTAAATTTGATACATAATAATCTGAAATTTAAGGTGTCACATTACACAATTAAAGTGACCATCAGATTTAAAATCTTAAAGAATTTAATCAAATGTATTCAATACTCTTTAAAACATCTATATAAAATATATGGTAAATATAATTGTTAGGCTTACAAGCCTTAATGTTTGTTATATTACTTATGCATGTTTAGTCGATAATATTAGTAAAAAGATTGACTCTTCTTATACCATTTTAAATTTGATCCGTAATAATCAAAAGTTTAAGATGTCACATTACACAATTAAAGTGATCATCAATTTAAAATCTTAAAGAATTTAATCAAATGTATTCAATACTCTTTAAAACATCTATATAAAATATATGGTAAATATAATTGTTAGGCTTACGAGCCTTAATGTTTGTTATATTACTTATGCATGTTTAGTCCGATGTTTGTGGAACTTGTTATTAAGACTTTGTGAGACCGAGTTTCTAATATGATGTCCAATGCTATGTATGTACTCATGTGGCAGGAATCATTATCAGTGATATAAGATATCGAGATTTCCTATCGAGGTTATTGATGTTGTGTGATACCAAGTGCTATTATTTGTGTTATACGTGCTATTGTGTGAACATATGTTCATTGTGTATTGTTGATAGTTGAAGCTAGGTGAAACCAACATTTGAATAAGAACTTTATAGTATGCGAATAGTAGTTGATGTTGATTAGAATGTGCCATCGGTAACCTTACATGACTACTTTTATGTCTTTCTGCTTATATTGCCTAACATACATACGTATATTAACTGCAAGTAGTATATTGGAGTAGATGTGTACAAATGAGCCCTGTTAGCTCAACGTTCAAATGTTTTTGTTTACGGGTCAGTAGATTAAACTGTTCGAGGAGCATATCGCTGCATGATTTCTAGAATCGTCATATTTAGAGTACATATAATATTGATTACTTTAGTGGGTATTCATATAACCTTTATTTGTGTATTCTTGGTCTGTAAACTCTATTAATTTATGATACTTAATTTTGTACTATATTATTTTGGAGCTCCATTTTGTATAACTATTTTTACATTCTTTTGATATTTATGAAATTGTATGAGCTTACAATTGAAAAAATGATTTTAAATTTAGTGATTGTTTTGATGGTCTAATGTAGAACCTTATGCATCATATAATGATCATTCCTGAGGTGTTATAGAAGATGCCTCAGCCCAACATGTAGTATTCCTTTGAGAGCGTGGAGATGTCTTTGCTTCTTCTATTGTAGTATCAAGGCTAAGTTACTTCCTCTACCAGTCGAGAGTGTCAAGATACATTTGTTGCTCCTAAACTAAATGAACTATTCTACTCTCTCTAATACGGACCAAAATAGTTGAGATGCCTTTGTCCTAACAATAGGAGTTATTACTAATCACGTAATGTTGGGATGCCTCAATCCCGAAAGTGTTCAGATCCGTTCGCATATTTTACGATATTCTATCATGGGCTAGGAGTTGTCTCACACTCTACCTACTAAAACTTAAAGAATCGTCCAAAGAATGTTGAGATGCCTCCGATCTAGCGATAAAAGTATCTTCATTGCTAATTTGAGCGTCAATATGCCTTTTCCCTATCAAGGGGAAAATACAATTCTCTCATTTCTTCTACCAAGGAGAAGATGCCTCTGCTTGTCGTATGGACTCTTTGGAAGGATTCGAGTTATTTCCTCTTTAGTCGAAGGCACAAAGATCCTTTGATATGATCTCGGTT